CCACTGCACTCCAGTCTGGGCGACAGAGTGAGACTCAACCCAAAAAAAAAAAAAAAAATAAGAAAAAAGAAAGAGCATGACAAAACCTGACAAGTAATTCTGAAGAGAGGTTGTAAAAGAACAGTGAACTTTTTGTTGTAAAAGATCAAATCTCCAAGGTCAAATGAATTAGCTGTAGAAAGAGAATTGGGGGAGAAATACCAACATCCCCTCTCTTGTCAGCCCTCCCTAGCAAATCCAGCTGCAACTCAGTTGTGGCACTTACAGCTTTCTGTTTCATAAAGTAGTTCTTTATCTACATGGAGCAATTGTTTATATTATTCATCTTAGAAGCCTCCACAGTTCCAGCTACAAGAGTCTTGAAAATATCAAGGGTTCAACAAGTATTTGCAAATAAATTAAGATTGTCACGTAACTTCCATTAGTGATCATCAGAATTCATTTAGCATGTGTATGAAGATTAAAACTGGAAAAAACGTTCTCCAGATTTTTTAAAGTGGGTGAGGATTAATTTCAGAAATTACAAATATCAGATATTCAGCAGAATTCCAGAGAGGATTTGTAAACATATGGCCATGAATACAGATTGAGCAATAAGGAATTCCTGAGGACATGCTTTCGCTTGTCTGTTTGCTTATGTATGCCCTTGTCTATAAAACTCCCTCCTCTCCGTCTTTGATTTCTTTCAAAATCCCATCCATCTATCATTTTTTAAGCCCTTTATCTTAGTCTGTTCATACTGCTATAACAAAATACCACACAGACTAAGTAATATACATAGAACATAAGTTTCTTTTTTTTTTTTTTTTTTGAGCTGGAGTCTCACTCTGTCGCCCAGACTGGAATGCAGTGGCCGCTCCCGGCCACCACAGCCTGGACCTGCTGGGCTCCGGCAATCCTTCTGCCTCAGCCTTCCAAGCAGCTGGAACTACAGGTGTGCACTACCACACCCGGCTAGTTTTTTGATTTATTATAGAGATGAGGTCTTGCCAAGTTGCCCAGGTGGGTCTCAGACAATCCACTCACCTCGGCCTCCCAAGGCGCGGGATTACAGGCTGAGCCACCGAGCCCGGCTGAACAGATTTAGTCACAGTTTTGGAGACTGGGAAGTCCAAGATCCAGGAGCCAGTGGGTTTGGTGTCTGCTGAGGGCCTAGTCTCTACTTTCAAGATGGCAACTTGTTGCTCTATCCTCATAAGACTGAAGGAGAAAGGACAAAAGGCCTAGTTTCCTTCCACCCCTTTATAAAGATTAAACATTCAAACTATAACTCCCTTCTCAAATTCCATCTTTCCCTCATATGAAGCAGGGCTTATTCCACCCAACAGAACCTCATCCTCTGCTGATCACCGAAAACCTGGTTTATTCTCACAAAGCATATCATAACCATTGTTTTGAATGGGATAATGTTCATGAAAGTGCTTTGTAAAGTATAAAGTGCCATAAAAATTAAATGTTTAGTGAGCACCTACTCTGAGCATCATGGTTGTTTCTGGTCCATTACATATAATTTGTGTAGCTGCCATGGACTGAAGCTGCCATGGAACAGGGATGCTGTCTTACTCATCTTCATATCCAAGGTCTACCCCTTAGGAGGTCTGAGACCTTGGAAAAGATATTCTCTGGGGGAAACAGTTTCTGTAACTCTAAAACACAAGTAAGATACAGAGCCTTGTCAGAGCAACCATTTAATATCTTGGTTGGGAACTTTCTCAATTTTTATCACATTTAATTATCACACCAACACTGTAGAGTAGGAATGGCTTTAATTAACAAATATTTATTGACATCCTAAGTATGTAACCAACCATGCTAGTGCTGGAGACAATGGTGAATGAAACAAACAATCCCTGCCCTCTTATTTTACAGATTAGGAAACTGAGGCATACAGTGGTTGTGACCTTCTTAGAATCATACTTAATATTAAGTAGTAGATCCAAAATTCAATCCCAGATCTTCTTGGTCCCAAATCCAGGGCATGAGTGCAAGAAATTGTCATTTTATTATTATTGGTGCATGTTTTTTCAACGCCATATTCAACAGTAGATGCTTAAGATTCTACAGGATCCATATAATTGAGAAATGAAGTCAGAAAGCATCCGATCTTACTATCTGAATGTTTTTTTAAGTCTGAAGATTTCATCCCAAGAAATTACCACTCCACCCCAAGGCGATTTATAAACATAGGTGATGCTATTGGTGAGTTTCCCAAATTTAAATCAAAGCTATAACTGATATTTAAATAAATTGTCATGCTAATCTTCACGATCTCCCAGCCTGATTTTGTTTTTTAAAAGAAGTATTTAAATTCCCTCTAAGCAGTATGTTTGATTGCATCCAGTGAGTCTGAAACATAATTTTCTTTACTGTTTAGTTTAAATATTTTCAAGTTTCCACTGTTTATTCTTTCATGTTGAATCATTTGGAAGTGCTTAAATTTCTAAATGTACAAAAAATCCAGTAACACTGCAGAAGAAAATACCAGTAAACTTGAAAACA